TTTGAAGGTGGAATATGGTTTGACATAAGTGTGGGCTTCCAACTGCTAAAGTGTATGTATTAAAGTGCTTAGGGAGGTGTAGTCACTCTTATATCTAAATGTATCCTACCCATCCCGTAGCCTACATTACAACCAGTTAAAAATGCTACTTGATCCTCGACTGAATGAACTCAATTAGTAGAGTAGTACACTACGGGCAAGCCTATGGTGCATTTCATATGGCATATGAATGTCGTTTCTGAGAGTAAGTGAATTCTTTCTATCTTGAGTTCCAAATTATTCTAAAATTGTATTGTGTATGGAACTACTCTCTTTTGTTGTGTGAGGACACTTGATTCGTGAAGGAAAGGTGATGTTGGACCTCTGTGTAGAGTAAGTGAGTAAGTTGTGAATAATGCGTGGTGATTGCGAGGCAATTCTTGAGGTGAAGGTGTTACACTACTGTACTTAGACTATTTGAAATATTCTTGGTATGATGAGTTAGGAAAGTCGCTCAGTGAGGTGGTGTCTATGTAAGGTGTGGCTTAATTGCTCGAGGACGAGCAATAGTTTAAGTGTGGGGGTATTGATTGTAGGCTATAACTATGTATCTGGCCACTATTTGCACTCTAAATAGGCTGCACTTTACTAATGTTTGAGCGTCAAATGTTAGTAAATTGCTCTGATTGAGTATTTTATGCTCTGCAGGAGCAATTCCGGGATACAAAAAGGTTAAGGAGCATTTTGAGCTAATATAGAGCGTTGGAGGCCAAGTAAAAGTTTATGGAGTAAAGTAGAAGTTTATTCGAGGATCGAAGGAGGTTAGCACACTTAAAATAAGAACGAAGAAGAGTGCAGAAAATGGACCAAGTGCGCGGCCGCGGACTGACCGCACACTGGGCCATGGAAGTCAAGCAGAAATTGGACAAAGTGTGCGGCCAGATGTGCGGCCGAGCACGTCCCTCCGAGAAAAATTATATCAGGGCTAAAATTATAATTTCAAAGGTGACTTCCCTTGACCTATATGAAGCCTAGCTCACTTAAAAAGAGGGTATCTTGGTTTTTAGAATAATTGTGAAGGCAAGAACAGGAAAGGAGCAAGACGGGAGATTCAGAAACGAGTTTTTATCTTTCTTCTTCCCCTTTTTATTATTGATGATGAAGACTTATGTTGTGATTTCGAAAACAATTATGAATAGATAAACTCTTAATCTAGGGTTTTGATGGAACCTATTGGAGGATGATTTTTCTGTTATGTTAATATAGATTTGCCGTAGTATTTTCTCTATTTGTTCAACTCTATTATTATTTTTGTTGATTGAAGGGCCCTCAATCTACTGTGCCTATTTGGTGTGTATTACTTGGGAGAGAGTGCATATTTAGGTAGTTGTTGAACAACATCACTCCTAACATATATGAGGGATAAATACAGAGGGTTTAAAGGTGGGATTAGGGATAATGAAACCTTGGTGCGATCTGAGTAAGCCGTACTTAATGCCAGCTAGCGTAATTCGGGAGAATATGCCTAATAAATTGTGGTAATTACTCATGGGAGAGTTACAACAGTCAAAGCGCTCATGATCGGTAGAGAAAACTTAGGCAAATTTATAGAAAATATAGCAGAAAGGATTTCGACAATAGGGGAAATCACAACCTTAGGTCATTCCAATTCTTGTCTACAACCCATTAGTAGCTAATTGTTAATTATTGCATTTTCATTACGTGATATTTAGTTAGTAAACATCCAATTTGTTACTTAAATATTTCTGAAGATTGATTGCGTGAATTTGTCCAAGTCTAGTAGTTGCGCTTAATAGGTTAATTCCCTGTGGGATTCGACTCCGGACTTATTAAACGGGATATATTTGCAACAACTGCTTAGTCCTTTTTATAAGGCATAGTTGGGCATGATCAGATCACCTAATATTTTTTTCGGGTCATCAAGTACGACCCAAGAAACAATAGTCACCGTCCTGTCGTGATCGCTCCTCGTTTTTTGGAATTTTATGGACCTAAAGTTGGAATTTTGTCCGATTCTCAAATTTTTGAATGCTATAGCCCACGCCTTTCGCATGGCCCGGTCCCCCGGACCTGAATTGCCTAAAACCTTTTCGGGACATATAAAACGACCTAAGAAAGCATAGTCACCTCCCCAACATAATAGTTCCTCGTTTTTTGGCGTTTTATGGTCATAAACTAGAATTCTGCCCGATTCTCAGATTTTCGTGCGCTATAGTCCATGCCACCAGAGTGGGACCGCGCCTTCGGGCCTGAATCATCTCAAATTTTTCCAGGCCATCAAATACAATCTAAGGAACCATAGTCACCGCCCCTCCATGAACGTTCCTAAGTTTTGGGCATTTTACGGCTATAAAATTATAATTCCGCCAGACTCCCAGATGTTTATGTGCTATAGCCCACGGGCCCCATGACCTAGATCGCCTAAATTTTTTTCGGGCTATATAAGTCGACCTAAGGTACCATAGTCACTGCTCCGCCATGATCGTTCCTCATTTTTTGTGGTTTTACAACCATAAAACTCAAATTTCACCCGATTCGCAAATTTTTATGTGCTACAACCCACGCCTTCCACATGGGCCCTGACCTCGGATCACCTCAAATTTTTTCGGGCCATAAAAAATGACTTAAGGAAACATAGGCACCGCCCTGCCATGACAGTTCCTCATTTTTTGGCATTTTACGGCCATAAAATTGGAATTCCGCCTTATTTCCAGATTTTCGTATGCTATAGCCCACACCTTCCACATGTGTCCGGGCCCTCGGAACTGGATCGCCTAAAAATTTTCTAGGCCATTAAATACGACCTCAAAAACCATAGTCACAGTCCCACCATGATCGTTCCTCTTTTTTGGCATTTTACGGCCATAAAATTAGAATTTCACTCGATTCTCATTTTTTTGTGCACCCACGCCTTATGCATGGGCCCGAGCTCCCGACCGGATCGTCTAAAAAAATTTTACGTCATCAAATATGACCTAAGGAGCAATAGTCACCGCCCTGTCATGACCTTTCCTCGCTTTTTGGAGTTTTATGGCCATAAAACTGGAATTCAGCCCAATTCCTAGACTTTCGTGTGTTATAGTCCATGCCTTCCGCATGGGGCCGGGCCCCCAGATTCAAATCGCTTAAAAAAAATTACGGGCCGTTAAATACGACCTAAGGAATATTAGTCATCGCCTCTCCATGATCGTCCCTATTTTTTAGCGTTTTAGGGCCATAAAACTAGAATTCTGCCCAATTTCTAGATTTTCGTGCCACGCCACCAAAGTGGGCTTGGGCGCACGGACCTGGATCACCTAAAAATTTGCCAGCCCATCAAAAACTGTCTAAAGAATATTAGGTCGTTTCTGATAGGCCTACAAAATTTTAGGCGATTCGTGGTTGATCATCCGAATTCATATAATTGGTGTGAATGTGATCCCTTGAGGACATTAAACATCGTTGGATATTCATCAACTTGCTGAAGTTGTTGGGCGAGGTAAGGTACTAGTTATGAACAATTGTCAGTTTGTTACAAATTTAGTAGTCGAATGGAGTTTGTGCGATTGACAATTGTCTGAGAACCTACAACATTCTTAATTGGATCCAAAGGAGAAACTTTTTAGGGGCCTTTATTGAGTATGGGCAATGAACTATCTAGACGCTTTGATGAGAAAATATGAACTAACTGATGACGTTAGTGTGTTCTCTAATTTATAAAAAATCTTTGATGTCTAATAGAATTGTAGGAGAAAAGTAGAATGGGGTCCGGACGTGGGAAACTTCTATGGTGACGGCAACTCAACCCTATTAAGAGAAGTTTGAAATAATTATAGTTGCGCACTTTTTCTGGTCAACAAGTCCCATACTCATGTGATGTGATCATAGTTCAAAATTTAAATAATTAAAGAAAAGAATGACCGATCGACATCCTAGATTGGACTTTGGATAGAATAAGAAAATTTGGATTGAACAACAACAACTCAGTATAATCTCATATAGTGGGGTCTGGAGAGGGTAGTGTGTACGCAGACCTTACCCCTACCCTGGGGTAGAGAGGCTGTTTCCAAATAAACCTCCGGCATCCTTCCCTCCAAGAACTTCCCACCTTGCTCTTGAGGAGACTCGAACTCACAACATTTCGGTTGGAAGTGGGGGTTGCTTTTCAAATTTGGATTGAAAAAGAAAAGAAACACACAATATCATATTGTACGAATGTATGTCCAAACCCTAGAGTTAGGTTTCTTTTTTTTTTTTTTGTACTTGTAAATATTTTTTCGGGTAATAAAAAATTAGTTACCAAAAAAAATATTGTATTTCTTTTGTTTCAGTTTATGTGAACCTATTTCCTTTTTTGTTCGTTCCAAAAAGAATGACTATTTTCTAAATTTGGTAACAATTTAGCTTAAACTTACAATTCTACCCTTAATGAGAAGCTTTATAACCACACAAATACTCTGGGTCCCTTTTTAATTTCCTTAGGACCATAAATTTCAAAAGTTTTCATTTTTTCTTAAATTTTGTGCTCAGTCAAACAAGTTCACATAAATTGGAACGGAGGGAGTATGAATTATATATTCGGTTCGGGCTATCGATTTCACTCGCAATATGTCTAGCCCTAATCGGTGAGCATGTATCAGGATCAATTAGTTTTGTGGCTATTTACAAATTTATTTTTAATTTTATGATCTTACTTTTTTTTAACACATGAGAGATTTACTTTTATACTTAAAAAAAATTTTATCCAAAAAATATCTAGAAATATCATTTTCTTAATTTATAAATTACAAAAGAACATGACCTACAAATAGCACCGTGTATCATTAGGTTCCATTAACCTTGAGAATTCGGAATGGGTCAGAGTCAGACATTATAAAAATGTATATTTCTGACGTATTAGCAAACGTCACTCTGTTGGAACATCAATTTGGAATTAAATAGTACGAAATTATTCCTTTTATTTCCCATAAATTACAAAACGTGCTTATAGCTATGCTAGGGCCTGTTTATCAACGCGACTTAGCGTGGCATATACAGACATGAGCATATGGTAAAAGTGTTGGTGTAGCAATCTCAAGAAAATCATGAGACCCCAAAAGTTCTATAAATAACCTTTCTATTTAGACCATAGTTTTAATTCATTCTCAATCTTAGTCTTCCATTAATCAAAAACCAAAGTCCAAAATCCATCCTCTTGAGAGATAAAAAAACTTTAGGCAATGGCACTATTAGACTTACAACTCTCAACCTCATTACTCTTTTGCCTTGTTCCTTTGCTCTTCCTTTTTTTCGTCAAATTCAAGAAAACAATTACTAATACCCTTTTATCATCCAATAACTCTAGTAAGATACCAAGATCTTATCCTCTAATAGGTTCTTATTTTTCCATCTTGGCAAATCACGACCGGCGGATAAAATGGATATCGGATATTATCCTAACCACCCCTAACCTCACTTTTACTCTCATTCGCCCTCTCAATTTTCGCACAATTTTCACTGCAAACCCTTCCAATGTCCAACACGTGCTCAAAACAAATTTTCAAGTCTACCAAAAAGGTCATGGTTCGTACAGTACCCTCAAAGATTTTCTCAGTAATGGTATTTTTAATGTCGATGGTGATATATGGAAGTACCAAAGACAAGTTGCTAGCCATGAATTTAACACTAGGTCGTTACGTAAATTTGTTGAGACAGTTGTTGATACTGAACTTTCTGAACGTTTGATACCAATTCTTGCCACTGCTGCTGCTAATAAAACTGTTCTTGATTTCCAAGACATATTACAAAGGTTTGCTTTTGACAACATTTGTAAAATTGCTTTTGGATATGATCCTGGCTATTTGTTACCGTCACTTCCCGAGGCAGAATTTGCTGTTGCTTTTGAAGATGCTGTTCGTCTCAGCACTGAAAGATTCATTGTTCCTTTCTCTCTTATTTGGAAAATCAAACGAGCTTTAAACATTGGATCGGAGAAAAAACTAAGGGTTGCTGTAGAACAAGTACGTGAATTTGCGAAAGAGATTGTTAGAGAAAAACAAAAGGAGCTAAACGATAAATCATCGCTCGATTCAGCTGATTTATTGTCAAGATTCTTGAGCACTGGACACTCCGATGAAGACTTCGTTACGGATATTGTGATCAGCTTTATATTGGCAGGACGTGACACAACTTCAGCAGCTTTAACATGGTTTTTTTGGCTAATTTCTAAACACCCTGAAGTAGAATCACAAATCATGAAAGAAGTTGGAGAGAAATCAGAATCTTTATTACTATATGATGAAGTGAAAAACATGATGTATACTCATGCATCTCTTTGTGAAAGCATGAGATTTTATCCGCCAGTTCCAATGGATTCTAAAGAAGCAACAAAAGATGATATATTGCCAGATGGTACATTTGTGAAAAAGGGTACGAGGGTAACTTATCATCCTTACGCAATGGGAAGAGTCGAGAAAGTATGGGGCGAAGATTGGGCAGAATTTAAGCCAGAAAGATGGTTGGATAAAGATGAAGTGACAGGGAATTGGACGTTTGTGCCAAAAGATGCATATACATATCCTGTGTTTCAAGCGGGGCCAAGAATTTGTTTAGGGAAAGAAATGGCCTTTTTGCAAATGAAAAGAGTGGTGGCTGGTGTTTTACGGCGGTTTAAGGTGGTTCCGGTGGTGGAACAAGGGGTGGAGCCAGTGTTCATATCGTATCTCACGGCCAAGATGAAAGGAGGTTTTCCTGTTACTATTGAAGAAAGGATATAGGAATATCCTATGGTCAATTGGTGAAAAAAGTAGTTTTGTTTTTTATGTGTTGCTTTAAATCTTTTGCTTTTTCAACTGTGCTACTGTAATTCATTTTGATATTCATAATTTGTATTTATATTAGTTTTTTGACAACGTCTCTTAATTTAGTTCCTATAACAAAAGTTAATACCTTATTTATTTTAAATGAATACCATTTAAAAAATAATATTCTATAGATACTTTTTAATGTTTATTGGTTACCTCCTACTCTTAAGCCATTAAATACGCTATTCAGTTACATTATTTTCTTTCTCTATCTACTTTGATCATGCCATTCTCTTTTCTCATTCCCTGAAAACACGATGCTCAATCTCAAAATTCCTCTCGCCCACATCACTTTTCTCATATCCCAATTTCTCCAATTTCTTTCTCTATCTACTTTGGCCTTTTTGGCTCTTTGCACAAGACCATCTGCTGATCTGCCTTACCTTTTGTGTTAAATGGAGTTATTATTTAAAGGGCCATTCAACTAATACAGAATGTTTAAAAAAACATATTTAGAGTTTGTGACCAAAAGATACATTTATTAACTACTCCCTCCGGTCTGCAGTAAGTGATCATTTTATATTTTTATTTTGGTCCAAAATAAGTGTTCATTTACATAATCAAGAATGAATTAATTTTATTGTTTCAGAATTTACCGTTATTTATATATTCTAATATGTAAATGTAATAATTAATTAATATTTTTTTTTTCTAAAAATTCGTATTTTCTTAATAGGTGTTAAAAGGTAAAATTGTTAATTAGGGAGTACAAAAGAGTGATTGGGAAGATCACTGAGCAAGTTTTCAGCAGCAAGTGTACTTAAATTAATGTCTTGATACTCAAGTAAATTACAAGTGTCTCTAAATTAATAATTTAAACGAGTGTACCGTACGTTTTGTTCTCTTGGCACTGGGAAATTAAAAAAGGATTGTTCGGGTCGAGGAGTGGGTCTGTTGGGTCCTATTACGGTCTAAATCTATTTTTTGTGTTTTGTAGTTTGCCGGTTTAAATGATTTTTTATGATTCTATCTCTTTTTTTACACACAATTTTTTTTTATATATATAAGAGATTTGAAAAATAACACTTTTTTATTTCAATATTGTAAATGGCCGTAAAGATCCATTTCTCGTAGTGTGTCGCGCCATTGATATTTACCGAAAATATACTCTTTCAGGCTATGATGACCAACAACAACAACAATCCACCCGGTATCCTTCCCTCCAAGAACTTTCCACCTTGCTCTTGGGGAAACTCGAACTCACAACCTCTCGGTTGAAAGTGGGGGTTGCTTACCATCAGAGCAACCCCTCTTATCTATGATGACCATGAGTGCGAAATAGGTAAAGTAGAAAGATTTTCGCGTTATAAGAAGGAAAATAACTTTGTTAGATAATTTTCATTCTTTGAGTGATTATTTAAGTAATGAACTCCATAAAATAAATGATCATTTAGGCCTCTGTGGTGGATTTCTTATTTAGAAGCTATTGTACGTACCTCACAATAAATTTTGACAATTATATATTTTATTAATCACTAAAAATTTCTTTCAACCGAATATAGCATTTTCTATCATTTAATTTGGTCAATGGAGGCTTGGTTGAAGCTAGGGGTGGGCATATATCGGGTAAAACCGATAACCCGAACCGTTAATTTTTTATTGAGTTATCGGTATTGAGTTATTGGGTTAACGGTTCGGTAACGGGTTAAATTTTTTTTTATTGGGTTATCAGTTCGGGCTCGGTTTGCATTTTTTTTATTGGGTAAAAACCGATAACCCAATAAGAATGATGTAGTTTACTAATTTACCCTTAAGTATATACTAGGGTTATTTATTTTCCTAATTCCCTTTTCACTCTTCAGTCGTTTGTCTCTCAGTTATCATTCTTGTTTCCGTCGCAGCCCCCAAAAGTCAAGACGCAGGACTCACCACCAGTTCTCCTCCAGACATCAGTAGATACTGCACAGAAGTGGGAGCGTGCTTTTGTTAAGAAACAACAAAAGTTGGCAGTTTACACGTTCTGGCAGTTTGATTTCTTTGTTTTATATATTGCAATTTTTTTAAGTTGNATCAGTAGATACTGCACAGAAGTGGGAGCGTGCTTTTGTTAAGAAACAACAAAAGTTGGCAGTTTACACGTTCTGGCAGTTTGATTTCTTTGTTTTATATATTGCAATTTTTTTAGTTGTTTTATCTTATCGAGTAAACTGATAACCGAACCGATAACGATATATAACCGATTAACCGATAACTGATAACCAATATCTTATCGGTTTGGTTATCGGGTTATGATATTTGTAAACCGATAACCAATAGGCAAAATCGATAATGTTCAAAATCGAACCGAACCGACCGATACTCACCCCTAGTTGAAGCTAGTTTTCTTATTAAATACTGTAGTTTCTTGACTTAAAATTATTAACTGGGTTTTGGAAATTGTTCCATTTCAGGGTTTGGGCTTATATTTCCATTTAATTTGTTTAGTGGGCTCATTGGTTAAGGGTAGTGAGTAGTGAAAGGTGTATTGATAGTGGGCTTTATATTATAAAACGTTCTGGTTAATGTTCGTGCTAACAAAAAGGATTTTTAAATAAATAATCGCCCGGATTCACATTTATTATACATGCTAGTCAAAAACGCGCGTGTACCTTATCTAATGAGTAAAAAGTTTTAAAAAAAAGTATATAAATATTTTATTTAAATTATGTTTGAATTATAAAATTAAAGTGTAACTGCTGAAAATGAAGAATATTGAACAAAGCTATTTGTGTTAAATCAATTTGATATTTAAGTTTGGATATTGTATTAACAAAGCTATTTGTGTTTTTTTTTTTACTATTGCCAACAACCAAACACCTCTATCTCTCTCTCTCTCATGTTTTTATAGTTACTTGTTGAAATTATTGAGATGTAATTCTCAAAGATTATAGTATGAGATAAATTATACAAAGTAAATTTAAGTAAAATAAGTAGTTGGTGATATAAAAATAAATTCTAATTTTAAGCTTTTAAAAGCCACTTGATCTTATAGTTAATGTCTAGTATTTTTAATATATTGGTTTAAAAAGATTAATTTACATTCTAATATTTTTCCACCTAGATTTAATATTTTTTTTAGAATAGGAAGTTTTTAGTGAATTAGAATTGAATTAGGACTATTTTCCTTAAGGTGGGAGATCAGAGACATATTTGAACTGGAGTGAAATACTAATAGAATAACTCTACGATCTTTGTCGACTGGGAATTTGTGTCGTATTCTAAGATCACATAAATATTAAGAAAGGTTTAGTCGGTTAAAATTGTTGCTATTTTTCTAATTCAAGTAAGAAAAGATACAATATGCAAAAAAATAGCAAAAGAAATAAAAATAATTATTCTCAAATATTAGAAAAATAACCAAATGTCTATTATGCCCGGTGTGAACTTTATTTTGAAGGAGTAAAAAAGATGAACTATATTTCGCTAAGCGTGTACCTCATATTTATGAGAATAAACTTTTTAAAAACAGCCTAAATAACATATTTTTTAAATATGTTTATGTCATAAATAAAAAATAATCAAAAATGTAAATTTTTAAAAATGCGAAATGTTAATCATATTTAGGGGTTTAGATCCACCTTAGTAGTTCTTTCTCCAGTTTGTTCCCGTACTTACTTTATTGTACAATTAACTATAGTTAAGTTGGTATTTCAAAATTTTGCAAATGTTAGTCCCTTGTACGCACAAAAGCTATGAAATATACTTATTAACATATTTGAAATCCATTTAAATAAAAATTCAAACTCATAATCTAGACAAAATGCATGTTATACAATATTCCTAACTTGATGTGCTCCCTATTTCCGTAAGAACTTAAAACTCATAGGAAAAAAAGATAAAATCAAACAGAAAAATTAGGCACCACACCTTATAACTTGAAAATTAATACTCACTAAAATGTTTATGATGAAGAATAAAAATATAATAAATACGGATTATACTGTAAGAAATAAGCAGAATAGCGTATCTGATCGATGAAAGTATCAAAATTCTGGTTGCTACAATGATGCTAAGTTGCTAATTGTCAATGTTTGTTCCTCAATAAACAATTTGAGCTGACATTATAATTAGTAGTGATTATAATTTTAAAAGCATAGTATTTACGCAACATAGATCCTATACATAGATAGTACAAAAGACGCTGAGATTTTATAAGTAAAATAGAGAAATTATACTTTAGGATAAAGACTTAAGAAAAAAATACGAAGCTTGAGAACATGATATTGTCTCAAGCTTCCTATTCACATAAACAATAGAGATAAATGTATTATGCTAATAGAATTTATAATCAAATTTTATAAACAATGCTAGCTTGGAAATTATGCTTCCTATTCACATAAATAACAAATTACATGTTCACAAAAAAAGACATGCTAATTGACACAAATAACTGTATACTTATTAAAAAAATCACAAGAACTTTTGTTAATACAAAACTTCAAGATCATCTATTATCATAATTTCAATAATACCCTAAAGGTTAGAAAGTTTACCTCAAATCAAAGACAAGTTTATTTTGGTAGATCTGACATTGTTAATAGCTTGTGATAAAGAATAGAAAACTAAAAGAATGTAGAACAAAAAATTGGAATAGTAATCGAATTTCATTTACAAAGAATAATAAGTTTCCTACTGAATCCCTTATTATTTTCCCCTTTTAACTTTGATAAATTTGACTTTTCTGGCAAGCTATAACTGAAGCATCCTTTATTACGAATATTCTTTTCCCCTTTTATTATCATACGACAATTTTATTTTTCTTGTTTCAATTTCAAATATTCTTTGTTACGGATATTAATTAAAGAAGGAGTTTCCTAGTTATCGCCTTTCTTTTCCTTTTTAGCCTACGGATTTTTTTTTTCTCCAACGAAGAATTATATTTGTATTTACAATTTTATCCAACTTAAATTTACTTAAGAAGGGTAAAAAAGGCGAATGACATTTTGCTAAGGGCTTTCGTGCTTTTAATATAGTATAGATAGATAGTACACATTCATCGGCTATTTTTAATTTAAGCGGTCAATTGGGTGGCTATTTAAGTTGGTTCTTCAAAAAAAAATCTGGAGCTATG